TCATGACAGAACTAGGCAGTGTTAAAATGGCTACTCTTTGGATATATCAACTCCATCTTATGTCCTTTTACCTTGATTTTCCTTCTTAATGTTATGTGATGTTGTGCCAGAGTCAGGTTGGAAAGTAAACTAAATTATGTAGGGTTAATAAAAAGTCCATCTCCCCATGCCCCTAGTTATGAATTTGGTAAGGTAAAGAAAGTCAGCCAGGTGTGTTGGCTCATGCCTGTAATCCCAGAATGTTGGGAGGTGGAAATGAGAGGACTGCCTGAGCCCAAGGGTTTTGTTAGGGTATGGCAGATGGGGTGAGGGTTGAGAGGCACAGGGAGGCGAGGGGCGCAGCACTGCTGGGGCTGGCGAGCCGGAGGTGTGCACCGGCAACCCAGAGATCCGAGTAAATTGCAAAGAATTGGGACACATAGAGGTGAGAGAAGAAAAGATTTATTTAAGAAAAGTTCACCCCCCACAGACAGGGAGTGGGCCTACACTCTAGGTGAGTGTGGCATCGTAGCCGCCCAGAGTCCTGGCTTAAATCCTTCTCTTGGAGATGTTGCACGTGACTGCCGTGACTTCCTTGTCGACCACCTGTGGATGTCTTGCATATCCTGTGACACAGAGACCCATTAATGTCCGCCCACATCATCATAGCCCCGAGAGAAGGGTATGACAAGGATTCTAATTCTCTGCACCTTCCCAAACGACATTCCTTGGAGCTAATGGGTGGTGCACCTCTCCTTATCCCCTAGGCATTCCCAGTGGGTAGCTTTGGGGGATCCTTGGCTTCCCTGTAGAGAGTGCCCAATTTACTGGAAGATCAAATCCCCACCTGCTCTCCCTCTGAGCGGTTATAACTTTTGTAATTACAAGTTTCATGACTTTTACAGTCCTTGCCCAACGCGTGATGTCTTAGGCCTTGTAAATTCCCTTTACTCTAGGCAAGCTTGATTGCCACTGAGATACCTCTGATACCTGGAAGTCTGTTTCTGAAAAGACAAAGTCGGTAAAGTTAGTTATACCTAAAGTGTGCATTTCCCCAAAAGCATAGCTTCTACTTTCTCATCATTGTATCAGGGTTTAAGAACAAGATGAAAAATGGCTTCCCACTCTTGGTCTGTCCTTTCAGGTTCAAAACCATCTTGGGCAACTTGGTGAGACCCTGACTCTACAACAACAACAAAAAAAATTAGACATGGTGGCACACACTTGTGGTTCCATCTACTTGGAAGACTAAGGCAGAAGGATTGCTTGAGCCCAGCAGGTTGAGGCTGTGGTATCCCTGATCATGCCACTGTACTACAGCCTGGGTGAGAGTGACACTCTGACAAAACAAAAACAAAAACAAAAAACCCAGGAAAAAGTGTTTGCAACTCATCTTAATCAGAAACTTCATCTTGTCTATCCTCTTCACATGGCTAGTTCCTTTCTTCAGATCTGGGTGCAAATGTCACTTTCTAGACAGTGTCCTATCACCCTCGCACGGTTTTGTTTTCTTCATAGCACTTAACACTGGAGATGTTCTGATTTATTTTTTGGTGTCCCTGGGATTTGAAAGTCTGCTCCCTGAGAACAAGGACCAAGGCAGTCCCGCTCACTGGTTGTGCCTTTGTGCCTAGCAGTGCCTGAAATGGATTTTTGTGCTCTATTATTTGGGCCAAGACCTGAGGTCTAAGCGGTCAAGAGGATATTGAAACTTTATTTTTGAGTCAGAGTCTCACTTGGTCACCCAAGTTGGAAGGCAACGGCATGCTCACGGCTATCCCGCCCTCAACCTGCTGGGTTCAGGCCATCCTTCCACCTCTCCAAGTAGCTGGAACTACAGGCGCACACCACTGAGGTTCACCTCGCTAATTTTTTTTTTTTTTAATTTATTGTAGAGACAAGGTCTTGCCAAGTTGCCCAGGCTGGTCTCAGGCAATCCTCTTGTCTCTGCCTCCCAAAGTGTTGGGATTACAGGTGTAAGCCACCACACGCCCAGTGGACGTTGAAACTTAACATGCTCCAACCCAAACGCCTGCCAAATTTGCTCCTCCCAGTGTTCCCCATCATGAATGGCTCTTTACTAAGATCTTTCTGATATCTTAGTAAATTTCCCTAGTATTCCACACCACATCAGCCAGTCCTGTTGGTTCTATCTGCAAAGTAGATCCCAAATCCTACCACCTCCCAAGATGCTTGTAAGTTAGATCCCTTCTCTTCCAAGGGCCTTCCCTTTTTTTTGAGGGGGGAAGGAGGAAATAATTCTACAGTCTACTACCTGAACTGGCCCCTGGCTACCTCCTGGCAAGCTTTTCATGTATTTCACCTTAGCTAGCCTGATCACCACTTGCCTGGGTTACTGTAGGTTGACTTCTACCTGGTCTCTGCTTGACCCCTGAAGCGTACGGCCTCCCTCTGCACAGCCAGCAGCTAGAAGGATCTTTTAAAACTGGAGACACAGCCCATGATTCCTTTGGTCAAACCCTTCACTGACTCCCCACTTTTCCTAGGAAAGAAACCGACAGGACCTAGCCCCGGCTCGCTCCCAGACCTCATCTAGCCCATCTGGCTACCAACAACAGTCTCTCAGAGCTCCCCCAAAAGGCTACTCGCTTGGCCTCAGGACCTTGGCACGTGCAGTCCCCTCTTCCTGAAGGCGCTCCCTCGGACATGAGTAGGGCATGTTCCCTGTTCCCCATCACCCTGGTTAACACAGCATCCCGCGGTCCCTCTGTCTCTCACACGGCTTTGTTTTCCTTCCCGGTATGTCTCACTACCAGACGGTGCAGTATGGGACTGCTTGCTTATTTTGTCTTCCCCTAGGCTGTGCGCTCCGGGAAAATGTGGCGTTTTTTCGCGGCTGCATTCCCAGTCCCAGCACGGCGCCGCACTCGGGATGCAGTCACTGAGCGCCAAGCCCGCAGGCTGACGTCCTTCCTCCCGCGTCGCAGAGCCTCACCCGCTGTTCCAACTCGCGTCCCATCCGGCTTTCCGAGAAGGACTCGCCACCCACGCTGCTGCCCCGCGTGGCACGCGACTCCCGCGCGGAACCTCGCACCCCGGGCCGGGGGGTCCGGCCGGCTCTCCGGCGCAGGCTCGGAGCGCGCGGCGCGCGAGGCATCACGGGGCTTGTAGTCCCCCCCGGAAGGGCCGTTCCCGGCTTCGCGGTCGCGCCTCCCTACACTACAACTCCCACGGGGCAGCGGGACGCCGGCTC